TCCTCAGCACTGCTTTGAAGCTCACTGCAGACAGCGGGCTCGACTGGCTGCTTCCTGTGAGGCCTTCCTTTGTGTCATTACATTTGCACTGAACACTGGTGGCTGGGCCCTCCCCCAGGAGAGGGTCAGGAACCTTCACCAGGCTGCGGCAAGGGTCCTGTCTGGCCCAGCTGGCCAGAGAGCCCAAGCCATGGCCACTGTACCCTGGGGTAAGTCTGGGATTGAGGTGCCCAGGAGAAGGTATAAAGTGGGGGCTGTAGACTCTCAGCCTCCCAGGGGTCACAGCAGCACCGTGACCAGGCCAGGTGACCTGCAGGTCCATGTCCCTCCTGAGGTTGCTCACATTCAAAACCCCGAAGAGCACTATGCACACACCCACCCAGGTGAGACCTGCACAGGCCCTCCAGGTGGCAGTATCTGGGAGCAAGGCAGAAGCCAGGGCAGGGGTGAGAACTGCCTGGCCACGCAGCCTGTGCTGGGGCCCTTCCAGCCTCCCTGAGCCTCCAGGCTGACTGTCCTCCTCCTAATTCGACGGAGAAAGAGAGAGGGCCTCAAGAGTATCCTGGCTTCATCCGGTGCCTGCCCCTGGGTACGCAGGGGTCACGGGAGATGACTTGGAAGGCAGACAGACAGGCCCAAACTCCAAACTCTGCCCATCGCCAGTTGTGTGGTCTCAGGAAGCTGTAGGCCCCCATTTCCTTATTTGCAAAATGGGGCCTATCTTCAGTATCTGTTGCTGTGTAACAAGTTGCTCCAAAACGTTAATGGCTGGAAACATCAATATTCACATGCTCTCATGGTGCCGGTGCGTCAGGAATTCAGGAGCGGCTTAGCTGCGTGGTTCTGCTGCAGGTCTTAGAAAGCTGCAGTCAGGATGTCGGCTGGGCTGCACCACCTGAAGGCTCAACCAGGGCCGGGTGGCTTGCTTCCAAGAAGGCTCACGTGGCTGCTGGCAGGAGGCCACGCGCCCCTGTGTGGGCCTCCCCATGGGCTGCCCCAGTGTCCCCCTGTGGCAGCTGCTTCCCCCAAAGCATGTGATTGTCAAGAGAGAAGGAGCAAGAAGGAAACTGCAGTGTCTTTTATGACCCAACCCCGCAAGTCACACCCCTTTGCTTCCGTGCTGTCTCCTAGGTCACACAGATCAGGCCCATTTGGAGTGGAAGGGGACCACACAAGGGCGTGGCCACCAGGAGGTGAGGATCAGTGGGGTCCGGGGCATGGCAGATCTTGGAGGCCACCTGCCAAATGCCGTAACTTGTCTGCTTCCTTGTCCCCCTCCCACCTCTCAGAGTCGTCAGGCGCTCCAAACAAGAAGCTCTGAGGGGTGCAGCTGGCATGGGGCTTACCATGTACTGAGCCCTGCCAACTAGTCTGGGCCAGAAGGCCCCTGCTTTCAATGAATGGGAACGAGTAACAGGCATGGGTTTTTTTTTTTCTTCTTAAGGTTTTAAACACCTAATTTATTCTGCCCATTAGATAGATTTTGTAGATTTAATCATTTTCACAGTTGGTGGCTCATTGGATACTCAAGATAAACTCCAAATGAAAGTATAATGGTGAGGACAAATGAGTTTTCACACCACAATGGCAGAAACTTGCTTGGGAAGAGAGTTTAAGAGGAACGAAAATACATACAGATATAATTTTTTCCCCCGGCAGCCGCTTTTGCTGACTATAGTAGGTTACCACAGTTAATTTCACCAGTTTTGTTCATCTGTAAAATTGCATAAAAGTGACGTTTTTGTGCTCATTACAGCAAGTGCTGATTTATGGCTGGTAAATGAAGAGCTGGTCCCTTTTTTTGTGGGACTCTCCGAGTGGCGCTAAGTGTCCATGAAATTGCTTGTATAATGTAGTTTAAATCCAATCTCGGAGAAAGATTCCCCCGTTGGCCAAAGTGACATTTCCATTCTCCACACCGTGTTTATTTTAGGCCACTTAGGTGGGGGCTGCCCCAGGCCGGGGTCAGGACGGACGCCTGTGACTAGCCAGGGGTCGGCTCCACCTGCCCGGCCCGGATTAGGCCAGAAGGATGGACGGGTGCCAGGTGCGGCCTGCCTCTCTCTCCTCCCTGCTCGCTGCCCAGGGCCGACCACATCCCTGCCCCTCAGGGCAGGGGCATGACCTTTCTAGCAGACAGGCCTGCCTCAGCACTTCCCAGCTTAAACCCCTCCCTGGGTGCCAACACCCTGGGCAGAGCTCCACCATTGTAGCGCTGCTGACGTTGGGGCAAGGGGCTGTTCTGGGTCCTGTAGGGTGCCGAGCAGCACCCCTGGCCTCTACACATCTCATGCCAGTAGCACCCCCTCCCCAGGAAACAAACGTCCTGGTGGAGGGCGGGCAGAACCGCTGAGAACCACTGCCCTGCAGTGCAGAGGCCCCACCTGCACTGGCCCATGCCCTCTCCGGCCACCCCTCTTGGTCTCTCCTCTACATGCCTGCCCTGGGTTCTGCTCTCCTAAATTATTTACAGTCCCAGCGGGGGTATGCTTCCTCTCCTCTGGACCTTTACCCATGCTGTTCTGCCTGAGGTACATTTCCCTCTTCCCTCCTCACCCCCTTCACCGTGGCCCTAATTAAGATGCTCTTTCTTCTGGGAAGCTGTCTTGCTTTCCCAAGCCCCAGCTCGGTGAGGCTTCCCATACTGTCTGCACGTGCCCATCACGGTGTATATTTTGCTCAGATTGTCTGTGAGACCAACAGGAGGCTGAGGCTCTTGGAAGGATGGGATTCGGCAATGTGGGGAGGCCTAGGGAGGGCAGTGGGTCTGCCCTCTGCCCCAGCCACATTGCCAGGCCCACCTGAGCTGGTCCGAAAGGAAGGCGGTACCTCTGTTCCAGGCAGACGGTGGAGGGGTGTCCACATTCCCACTTAGCACCCACTTCTGCTAATTCACTTCCCCACATTTGAATCCTTATACCTTTGTGGCCACCCTGGGAAGTAGCAGTAACAGCAGGCTCAGTGGAGAGGCCACAGCCCAGTCCCCCAGGCACTGGTAGGCCCCAGGGCTGCCCACGGGGCAGGAGGAGCCACGGAGACCTTGTAGGGTCCTCACACAAGGGGCAGGTAGGTCACGTCTCCCGGCACTGCATGCTCACCCTCCACTCAGCCCCTCGGCACAGCTGTTCCCTGGGCCGCCCTGCAGAGCTGGTGTGGTCATTTTCCCTGTTCCAGAGGTGGCGAACTAGACTCAGCAAGGCGAACAACTTGTTCAGGGCCACAAACCCCACCAGCAGGCAGGACTCTGCCCAGGCAGCCAGTTCCAGAGCCCCAGGGGCCTCCACCTGCCTCATGAAGGTTCCCTACCCCAGGAAGGGTCCTGGGTGGCACTGAGGAAGTGTGTCAGGACCAGAGAGGGACTCTGGATGGAAGAGGGGGTCTATCAATGAGCCATGTCCCTGCAGCAAGGGCCAGCTGTGCCCACCAACAGTAGGGCCAGTCAACCTGCCGCACACCTTTTAGCCCCATGCTGACAGCTCACAAAAAAGGCTCTGGCTACCACACTGGCCTTGCAGGTGACAGGCAGACTTGGGGAGGGGTTGGGCAGCCGACATGGACAAAATCCCTGTGTCTCACCTGCTGGCTGATTGAGCAAAGGAGTGGGGGGGAAGCCTCCGCCTACACCACCTCCCCACCTGCCAGGCCTCCTGCTGGGCCCTGTTCATGGCAATGCACGTGATCTTCCCACAGAGGTCAGCAGGTCGTCCGCATCCCATTTTACAGAGGAGGAAAGGGAGGCACCAAGAGGGCAGGTAAAGCACAGAAGGAAGGAGCGGACAGCCAGCGGAGACGTCAGATTGGCAGGCAGACAACACCAAGTGCCGTTGCGGGCGTGGGAGCCCCGGAACTCCTGTGCTCTCCAGCGGGGGCGCAGCCTGGCACAGTCTCTGGCAGATGGTTGGGCATCTTCTGAAGCTGAGCATTTGCCTCCCCCATGTCCCGGCAGTTCTACTGCTCATATTCTCAAAAGAATTCACGGAATATGTGTGCCAGGGGCTGAAAGCACTACAGGCTTACCTTGGAGATGTCATGGATTCAGTTCCAAACCACCACAATAAAGCAAATACCACAATAAAGCGAGTTAAATGAATTTTTTGGTTTCCCAGCACACACAAAATTATGTTTACACTATAGTCTATTAAGTGTGCAATAGCGTGACATCTAAAACAAGTACATACCTTCATTAAAAAATACTGTATTGCTAAAAAAGCTAACCATCATCTAAGCTTTCAGCAAGTTGTAATCACTGACCACAGATCACCATAACGAATGTAACAATGAAAAAGCTTGAAGTATCGCGAGAACTAGTAAAAGGTGACACCACTTGAAATGAGCAAACATTGTGGGGGAAAATGGTGCCACCAGACTTGCTCCTCAAAAGGAGGCCACAAACCTTCAGTGTGTAAAACACACAGTATCTTTGAAGTGCAGTATAACGAGGTGTGCCTGTATTTGTATCAGCCCCAAACTGAATATGACCCAAGTGCCATCCACAGTAGGAAGGATGAGTAAAACTGATGTAGTCATACGAAAATGCCACACAGCAGGGAGAATGAACCACAGCCACACCCGGCCACCTGGATGAATCTCGCAAACCACCTGATGATGGGGGACAGAGCAGACGCGAACGCGTTGCAGGTACACGACCAAGCACAGCTCGTCCAGGGAGCCCTTGAATGGTGCATGGCTAGTGACCGGGAGGGCTGCAGGGGCCCTCTGGGGGACTGGCAGCGGTTCGCCTCCTGACCTAGGTGTGGTTATACAGGTGTGGTCGTTCTGTGAAAGTTCAGGACACTGATGGTGTGTGCAGTTTCCTTTATGTACTTTGTGCTTTGAGCCAAAGCTTTACAGATGGAGAAGGAAAAAATGAAGGAACAAGCGAAGGGCAGCCCATGCGTGCTTTTAGGGCACGGGGGCTTGGTGGGTGGGGGCGTCAAGTCCTCCCCTTGTCACTGGGTTGGCAATCACCTGTGCTTTCCTCTCCTTGCTTGTGCCCACAGGCGAGACGGCCTCCAGCTCCATGCATTCCTCCCGCTACCCAAGCCCGGCCGAGCTGGACGCCTACGCCGAGAAGGTGGCCGACAGCCCGCTCTCCATCAAGATCTTCCCCACCAACATCCGAGTGCCCCAGCACAAGCACCTCAGCCGCACCGTCAACGGCTATGACACCAGCGGCCAGCGCTACAGCCCCTACCCGCAGCACGCCGCCGGCTACCAGGGCCTGTTGGCCATCGTCAAGGCTGCCGTCTCCTCCTCCAGTGTGGCCACGCCCGCCGGGCCCACCAAGAGTGTGCTCAAGAGTGCCGATGGCAAGCGGACCAAGCTGTCCCCGGCCACCGTGCAGGTGGGCATCGCACCCTACCCGGCGCCCAGCACTCTGGGGCCCTTGGCCTACCCCAAGCAACCCGAGGCGCCAGCCCCACCACCCGGCCTGCCCATGGCTGCCGCCACTGCCGCCTCTGTCATCCCCCTGCCGGGCCGCGGCCTGCCCCTGCCACCTTCCAACCTGCCCTCCATCCACAGCATCCTCTATCAGCTCAACCAGCAGTGCCAGGCCCCAGGTGCCGTGCCCACCGCCTGCCAGGGCGTGGCTGTGCCCCACCCCAGCCCGGCCAAGCACGGCCCTGTGCCCAGCTTCCCCAGCATGGCCTACTCCGCTGCAGCCGGCCTGCCTGACTGCCGAAAAGGCACTGAGCTGGGCCAGGGAACCGCAGCAGCCTTGACGTTGGCTGGGGCCACTAGGCCTGCAGGGTATGTGGACAGCGGCCTGGATTACCTGCTATGGCCACAGAAGCCACCCCCACCACCACCGCAGCCACTGCGGGCCTATAGCGGGGGCACAGTAGCCAGCAAGTCCCCCGAGGCTTGCGGGGGGCGGGTGTATGAGCGGGCCAGCGGGTCGCCCCTCAACTGCAGCATGGGCCTGCCCACCAGCTTCACTGTGGGTCAGTACTTTGCTGCCCCCTGGAACAGCGTGCTGGTGACCCCCACCAGTGACTGCTACAACCCGGCCACGGTGGCAGTCACTGAGCTGGGGCCTGCAGCGGCCCGGGAGCTGGCAGGGCCGCCTGCAGAGGCGCTCTCAGGCCTGCCCAGCAAGAGTGTGTGCAACACAGCGGTGCTGAGCAGCAGCCTGCAGTCGCTGGAGTATCTCATCAATGACATCCGACCGCCCTGCATCAAGGAGCAGATGCTGGGCAAGGGCTACGAGACCGTGGCTGTGCCCCGGCTGCTCGACCACCAGCATGCCCACATCCGCCTGCCTGTCTACAGATAAGGCCTGCCGGGCAGCCGCATGGACAGACCAGGGTGTCTGGGGGGAGGCAGGCCAGAGAACAGGGTGGGTGGCATGCAGGTGCCCGAGTGCCTGCTGGTGCCCACAGGGAAGCCAGGCTGGCTGCTGCCATGCGGCTACCTTAGGGGGAGTGGCAGGGTGACCTCATTCACCGAAGCTCACCCCCGGCTGCCCCAGGTTATGGGGAGGGCCCAGGGCAGCTGCTGATGTCCACACCTTCCTTCATCCGTGCTGGCAGAGACAGGGAGAAAGAAACCACTTCTAAGTAGGAATGGCTCTTTCTGGCTCTCTCAGGAGAGGGGCTCGGGCCAGGGTGGGATACAGGAGGAAGTGTGATGGTGTAGAGTCAGGTGGGCTAAGAGCAAGCCCCAGGGGTCAAGCAGCTCCCAGCCTCCTGGAGAAGGGGCCTGTACGAAGTCACAGGGCCCACAGCGTCCCCCAGGTGAGGACCACTAGCAGAGGCTCCCCCGACTACAGTCCCCCTGCCCCTCCCCTAGACTCTCCTTCCCCTCCACTCAGTCCTTCCCAGCACAGAATTGTACTCCCTAGGCCCCAGGGCTGCCCACGGGGCAGGAGGAGCCACGGAGACCTTGTAGGGTCCTCACACAAGGGGCAGGTAGGTCACGTCTCCCGGCACTGCATGCTCACCCTCCACTCAGCCCCTCGGCACAGCTGTTCCCTGGGCCGCCCTGCAGAGCTGGTGTGGTCATTTTCCCTGTTCCAGAGGTGGCGAACTAGACTCAGCAAGGCGAACAACTTGTTCAGGGCCACAAACCCCACCAGCAGGCAGGACTCTGCCCAGGCAGCCAGTTCCAGAGCCCCAGGGGCCTCCACCTGCCTCATGAAGGTTCCCTACCCCAGGAAGGGTCCTGGGTGGCACTGAGGAAGTGTGTCAGGACCAGAGAGGGACTCTGGATGGAAGAGGGGGTCTATCAATGAGCCATGTCCCTGCAGCAAGGGCCAGCTGTGCCCACCAACAGTAGGGCCAGTCAACCTGCCGCACACCTTTTAGCCCCATGCTGACAGCTCACAAAAAAGGCTCTGGCTACCACACTGGCCTTGCAGGTGACAGGCAGACTTGGGGAGGGGTTGGGCAGCCGACATGGACAAAATCCCTGTGTCTCACCTGCTGGCTGATTGAGCAAAGGAGTGGGGGGGAAGCCTCCGCCTACACCACCTCCCCACCTGCCAGGCCTCCTGCTGGGCCCTGTTCATGGCAATGCACGTGATCTTCCCACAGAGGTCAGCAGGTCGTCCGCATCCCATTTTACAGAGGAGGAAAGGGAGGCACCAAGAGGGCAGGTAAAGCACAGAAGGAAGGAGCGGACAGCCAGCGGAGACGTCAGATTGGCAGGCAGACAACACCAAGTGCCGTTGCGGGCGTGGGAGCCCCGGAACTCCTGTGCTCTCCAGCGGGGGCGCAGCCTGGCACAGTCTCTGGCAGATGGTTGGGCATCTTCTGAAGCTGAGCATTTGCCTCCCCCATGTCCCGGCAGTTCTACTGCTCATATTCTCAAAAGAATTCACGGAATATGTGTGCCAGGGGCTGAAAGCACTACAGGCTTACCTTGGAGATGTCATGGATTCAGTTCCAAACCACCACAATAAAGCAAATACCACAATAAAGCGAGTTAAATGAATTTTTTGGTTTCCCAGCACACACAAAATTATGTTTACACTATAGTCTATTAAGTGTGCAATAGCGTGACATCTAAAACAAGTACATACCTTCATTAAAAAATACTGTATTGCTAAAAAAGCTAACCATCATCTAAGCTTTCAGCAAGTTGTAATCACTGACCACAGATCACCATAACGAATGTAACAATGAAAAAGCTTGAAGTATCGCGAGAACTAGTAAAAGGTGACACCACTTGAAATGAGCAAACATTGTGGGGGAAAATGGTGCCACCAGACTTGCTCCTCAAAAGGAGGCCACAAACCTTCAGTGTGTAAAACACACAGTATCTTTGAAGTGCAGTATAACGAGGTGTGCCTGTATTTGTATCAGCCCCAAACTGAATATGACCCAAGTGCCATCCACAGTAGGAAGGATGAGTAAAACTGATGTAGTCATACGAAAATGCCACACAGCAGGGAGAATGAACCACAGCCACACCCGGCCACCTGGATGAATCTCGCAAACCACCTGATGATGGGGGACAGAGCAGACGCGAACGCGTTGCAGGTACACGACCAAGCACAGCTCGTCCAGGGAGCCCTTGAATGGTGCATGGCTAGTGACCGGGAGGGCTGCAGGGGCCCTCTGGGGGACTGGCAGCGGTTCGCCTCCTGACCTAGGTGTGGTTATACAGGTGTGGTCGTTCTGTGAAAGTTCAGGACACTGATGGTGTGTGCAGTTTCCTTTATGTACTTTGTGCTTTGAGCCAAAGCTTTACAGATGGAGAAGGAAAAAATGAAGGAACAAGCGAAGGGCAGCCCATGCGTGCTTTTAGGGCACGGGGGCTTGGTGGGTGGGGGCGTCAAGTCCTCCCCTTGTCACTGGGTTGGCAATCACCTGTGCTTTCCTCTCCTTGCTTGTGCCCACAGGCGAGACGGCCTCCAGCTCCATGCATTCCTCCCGCTACCCAAGCCCGGCCGAGCTGGACGCCTACGCCGAGAAGGTGGCCGACAGCCCGCTCTCCATCAAGATCTTCCCCACCAACATCCGAGTGCCCCAGCACAAGCACCTCAGCCGCACCGTCAACGGCTATGACACCAGCGGCCAGCGCTACAGCCCCTACCCGCAGCACGCCGCCGGCTACCAGGGCCTGTTGGCCATCGTCAAGGCTGCCGTCTCCTCCTCCAGTGTGGCCACGCCCGCCGGGCCCACCAAGAGTGTGCTCAAGAGTGCCGATGGCAAGCGGACCAAGCTGTCCCCGGCCACCGTGCAGGTGGGCATCGCACCCTACCCGGCGCCCAGCACTCTGGGGCCCTTGGCCTACCCCAAGCAACCCGAGGCGCCAGCCCCACCACCCGGCCTGCCCATGGCTGCCGCCACTGCCGCCTCTGTCATCCCCCTGCCGGGCCGCGGCCTGCCCCTGCCACCTTCCAACCTGCCCTCCATCCACAGCATCCTCTATCAGCTCAACCAGCAGTGCCAGGCCCCAGGTGCCGTGCCCACCGCCTGCCAGGGCGTGGCTGTGCCCCACCCCAGCCCGGCCAAGCACGGCCCTGTGCCCAGCTTCCCCAGCATGGCCTACTCCGCTGCAGCCGGCCTGCCTGACTGCCGAAAAGGCACTGAGCTGGGCCAGGGAACCGCAGCAGCCTTGACGTTGGCTGGGGCCACTAGGCCTGCAGGGTATGTGGACAGCGGCCTGGATTACCTGCTATGGCCACAGAAGCCACCCCCACCACCACCGCAGCCACTGCGGGCCTATAGCGGGGGCACAGTAGCCAGCAAGTCCCCCGAGGCTTGCGGGGGGCGGGTGTATGAGCGGGCCAGCGGGTCGCCCCTCAACTGCAGCATGGGCCTGCCCACCAGCTTCACTGTGGGTCAGTACTTTGCTGCCCCCTGGAACAGCGTGCTGGTGACCCCCACCAGTGACTGCTACAACCCGGCCACGGTGGCAGTCACTGAGCTGGGGCCTGCAGCGGCCCGGGAGCTGGCAGGGCCGCCTGCAGAGGCGCTCTCAGGCCTGCCCAGCAAGAGTGTGTGCAACACAGCGGTGCTGAGCAGCAGCCTGCAGTCGCTGGAGTATCTCATCAATGACATCCGACCGCCCTGCATCAAGGAGCAGATGCTGGGCAAGGGCTACGAGACCGTGGCTGTGCCCCGGCTGCTCGACCACCAGCATGCCCACATCCGCCTGCCTGTCTACAGATAAGGCCTGCCGGGCAGCCGCATGGACAGACCAGGGTGTCTGGGGGGAGGCAGGCCAGAGAACAGGGTGGGTGGCATGCAGGTGCCCGAGTGCCTGCTGGTGCCCACAGGGAAGCCAGGCTGGCTGCTGCCATGCGGCTACCTTAGGGGGAGTGGCAGGGTGACCTCATTCACCGAAGCTCACCCCCGGCTGCCCCAGGTTATGGGGAGGGCCCAGGGCAGCTGCTGATGTCCACACCTTCCTTCATCCGTGCTGGCAGAGACAGGGAGAAAGAAACCACTTCTAAGTAGGAATGGCTCTTTCTGGCTCTCTCAGGAGAGGGGCTCGGGCCAGGGTGGGATACAGGAGGAAGTGTGATGGTGTAGAGTCAGGTGGGCTAAGAGCAAGCCCCAGGGGTCAAGCAGCTCCCAGCCTCCTGGAGAAGGGGCCTGTACGAAGTCACAGGGCCCACAGCGTCCCCCAGGTGAGGACCACTAGCAGAGGCTCCCCCGACTACAGTCCCCCTGCCCCTCCCCTAGACTCTCCTTCCCCTCCACTCAGTCCTTCCCAGCACAGAATTGTACTCCCACCCCCATGCTCCAAACCGTGGACTACCGTATTCCCCTTCCCTCCAGTACATCTTACAGGGCTGCTGGGCACAGTTGTATGGGCTGTGCACTGCACAAAGGCACCTTGTCCAAGGAGACACCACTTGCATCCTAGACTTGTATATTTATTAATGCAATTTTCTGAATCTTGAGGAAGGGGTGCCATTTTCCTATTCGCACAAAGGCAGCACGGGCTAACGATTGGCCTGTCATATTAGACACCAGTCAGAGGCACCCTACGCTGCCTTCTCCAGGGGCTCCTCTAGGAGTCAGAAGGGAGGCAACCCACTGGTTTTAACTGGGGACCCAATCCATCTCCTTCCTGCAAGCCACCCTCCATTGCCTGCCCCACACCAATGTGGTGAGGCAGGCAGGGGTCTCCCCATTAAGTCCCCAAGGCCCCAGTTCCCCAAGTCCTGGCCCCTCTGGCACTCCGGAAGTGGTACTGTATCTCTCTCCAAGGCCTGTTCAAGCACTAAGTGCATTTACAAATCTCTGAGAATGTTTTTTTTTTTATACTAAAATTGACCATTATATTCTACTGTGAGAAGTGCAGTCTGCACTTATATTGTTTTAAAAACGAAGAGAAAGAAAAAAAAAGGACAACACAGATGGTGTCTCAGCTGTGGGCTTGCTTTGTAGCTCTTGTTTCTGTTCTTTCTTCCTCTCTTAGGAGTGAAGGGCCGTTCTCCCCAGCTGGCCAGGCTTGGGCCCTGAGGAGAAAGGCCGGGAGCCTCTGGCACCTGCTGGGCGGGGCCCCTCTGCACTCCGTGTGCCACTTACTCTTCCAGCCCTTTCCACGTGGACATTGTCATTCGCTCAGTGTACATGGTATCACGCAGGCTGATCGCCACTGGGTCCCGGCCAGGGATCAAGGCCGTAGGACGGCTGAGATGGAACTGAGCCTGGGCCCCTCTGGCTTGTCCCCTGCAAGGTACTGAGAGGGTCTGGGGGTGGTGCCCCACCTGCCTCACTAAATTCCTTCCCAGCTCTCCCTCTGTCTACACACTCTAGGCTTCCCGGGGGGCCGTGTGGCTCGGCAGTGGCCATCTCTGGCCAGCCCAGCACGCAGCCATCGCACGTCCTGGTGCCTGTGGGTTCGCAGGAGAGCACCCAGCCCCAGGATGCTCAGCATTTAGCAGGTGCCCACTGTGCACTGGGCATTTTCATATTCGCTGTATCTCTCTGGAACTTGCCATACCCTTGCAGGGTCAGAAGTGTCTGAGAGGAAGATGCTCAGAGATGTGAAGTGCCTTGCTCCAAGGGCACATAACAAGTCTGGAAAGTGGGGGTTTGAACCCCACAGCAAGGACTCCTCAGATCCCGTGCCCACTTCTACTTTGGCCTGCCATCCTGACATCTGGGCTGTGGGCACCTGGGGGGCCCCCAGGTTGATGCAGGCCTTCTGTCCCATGCATGGTGCCAGGGCAGGACCCAGGCCCTTCTGAACTGGGTCAGTGAACCACCCCTGGGCAGCGGGAGCGGGGTTCTGCTGCGTGACACACTGGGGACGTCAGCGCCGTGTGGAGGGCCCCTGGGAGTAATCATAAACGGGAGGTAAAGGGCAGTTGGCAAAGTGTTTTTCTGACCTCATGTAATTGAATCTCACAACAATTCCATCAGAAATGTAATAAAATCATTCCCATTTTACATACAAGGACACAGAGAATCTGCGAAAAGGCCACCAGGATGGTAAGAGGGAGCCGGGTTCTGGCATCAGGCTCCTTGCATTGTGGGTCAGGCTGCCTCCAGACCTCCCCCCGAGCCTCCAGCCTCACCCACAGCTGAGTGGGCCTGGGGGATATCACAGCACCCAGAGAGGCCCCTGGAGGCGGGCACGCCTCTGCAGTGAGCTAGAGGCTGATTCCTATCCTGGCATTGCTACTTTGATGCTAACCAGTCTGTCCCCAACCAGAACCAGAGACAGAATTCAGGGAGATGGAAGCCCAGTGTGGGTACCTGCGGGAGGGGCAGGGCAGAACAGCGGGGTCTAGGGCCAGGTTTACAGCTGAGCTGGAGCCTGGGGCTCCGCTGTCCACCTCAGCACTGTGTGGTCTGTGGGTGTCCAGGCCAACACCACCCTCACCCCTGCCCGGGGCATCAGGAGGGGAAGGAAGTAAGACTGGAGCCACTCACATTTGGAGATCCAGGCTAGGACCTGCCTCCTGCCCTGGGTAAACCTCATCCTCTGCAGGGCAGGTCTGCATGCAGGGCAGGTAAAGACATATGGCACAGGTAGTCTGTGCATGCGGCCCCCGAGTCCCGCTGGGGTTCCAGCTCTCGCCTAGCCCCAGCTCCCTGGGAGCTCAACTAGCTGGTCTTAACGGGCCCTCCAGCATCCCCGTCCTGGCCTGAGGCACCCCTGCCTTTCCGTATTCCCTTCTGATTACCGCAGGCAGCTGGTCACCAGGTGCGGTCTGTGTAGTCCTCATAACCACAGGGCACGTTCCCATGCCACAGATGAGGCTAGAGCGGCCCAGGGAAGGGCAGTCACTGCCCAGCCATACAGCTGAGGACAGAAGGGAGAAGCAGCTGGGACAGAACACAGGCCTGTCGGATTCAGTCCAGGCTCTGACTTGCTGCAGTATGCAGAGAACAGGAAACTACCACAGCCCCCAAACGTGGGGATCTGGCTCCAGAACCTAGGTCCAGCCTTGGTTCCCTGGCTGCTGGGCCTTAACTGGGGGGTGAAGAAGGTCACCCCATCTAGGCCCTGTCCCCCACGAGAGCTGCAGTCCTGTGTCCCTTAAGTCTCTCGTTGGGACACTGGGATCCTCCTCTCCATGTGGTTCTCTTGGGCTCACACTGCTTGGAGCTAAGCTGTCCAGCTGGAAAGAGGGTTTGAACCCCACAGCATGGACTCCTCCTCGCGTCCTGTGTCTGGCACATAACCCCGACTACTATTACCTCTTACCGTCATAACAACCATTAGAAGACCACCCGGCTTACAGAGATGGCAGAGCTGCCCCAGAGGGGAGAGACCAGTCCAGGGGATGCTCACCTTTCCAGGGTGCCTCGTGCCGTCCTGACCCTTATCCCAGCCTTTAGGGCACTGCCCGACTTCTGAGGAGGGGAAACAGACAAGTTCCACCCCTGACTTGCCTACAAGCAGCGACGTCAAACCAGCGCTGCTCCCAGCTGGCGCCTGGACACTCGGACCCGTGCCCACCTGGCTCCTTGTGCACCTGGCTCCACCGCGCCGCACTGCGCCTGCGCATCCCGCACACCTGGCGCTCTTAAAGAGCCTTTGCTGTCCCCCCACCAGTGTCTCCTTTGTGCTGGCCGGGAAGGCGGGGCCTGACCCTCTGGGTGGGCAAGCCAGGTGGATGAAAATTTTCTGTGTAAATCGCCACCATCAGCAACTCGCTAGAGAGTTACAGGGGAAGGCAAAGAGGCAGGAAACTGACCTCAGTATCCCATTCACTTCATAGGTGACCCTGGGGCACTTGCTTGGGTAACCTCGCTGGGCCTCAAGTCCAGATCTGTCCAAGGACGTGTTAGCACCCGAGGGACTGGGATGGCACCAGGTCGTGTGAGATAAGGACAAGAGGACTAATTAGTTTTGTGAGAGGGACCCCACCTCCGAGGGCAGTGGGCCTGTTGTTTTGAGGGTCAGCTATGGTTGCAGCCCTGATGCTGCCCCTCCCGAGCATGTGGCCCTTGACAAACGATCACCCCTCTCTGAGCCATCTGCTTTGCAATGTCAAGTGAGACTAATATAAAACGTGTGCCATGTGGGGTTGACCAAGGAGCCGGGCAGGTGGTCAGCCCCCCGAGGTAGCACAGAGCCTGTTCCATTCATGTCTGAAAGGTGTGTGATCTCTGTCAACACCTAGTCCAGCTGATTTTTCACCTTGGAAAGTAGGTTTCCAGGTTGAGAGTTTGAGAAGCAGGTGTGTATCCCCTCGTTGTGCCGCAGTTGGGGAAACTAAGTCCCTTCTCCTCTCTGTTTCCCCAGCTGCAGCACAAAGATGCCTCATGAATCCGCGGTAGAGCAAGGACCGGAGTCCAGGCCTGACCCGAGGGGGTGGGCCTCAACTCTGGGCCACCACATCCCAACTGGTCTCTTGGTCCACCTTGTGGAGCAAGACCCAAAGGAGAGGGGAGACCCCCCAGGGAGAGAGAGGAAGCCCCCATTTGAGAAGTGGGGATGAGTACCCCTATTTTGAAAATGTGAAAAGTGGGGTTCAGAGGAGAGCAACTTGCCTGAGGGCACACAGCAACTAGGTCCTACACTCCAGAGGCAGATGTAGGCCATCTTCTCTCCCTGTGGGGTGTGGGGGTGTTTCCTGAGTCTTACAGTCTCAGGGTACATCTAATGGGGAGCTCTCTGCTAGGGGCTCTTCCGGATCGAGTCCCTGGTTCCAAGTTTCCCTCTGGCCTCTTCGGAGGAGGCCCCTGGGTGTGAATGCAGCGGCCCCTGCTGGCCAACCTCCAGGAGCAGCGCCCCACCCCTTGCAGGCCAAAGGCAGATCAGCGAAATGCAGCAGATGCATCTAAAACTGCGGTGGACTAAGAGTAATGGGGGGCTCTGTGCTGTCACTGAGCCCCTTGGGATGCTGAGAGGACTGAGTCAGGATCTGGGGACCTGGGTCCAAGTCTCACCTCCACCCAACCTCTCCTGTCCTCATCTGTTAGAGGTCATTATTACATCTGTTGTAGAAAAACAGAATATGTGCATGTGTTGGAAAGGCCAAAACACCGAGTAAAAAAAGGATATTCTGCCACCCATCCCCCTAGAAGATTTCTCTTCCTAAGTGAGTGTTCAGATCCTCATTCCACCACATGCAGGCTGTGTGTCCTTAGGCAAGTGTGTTTACTTCACTAGGTCTCGCTTTCTTCATCTATAAAATAGGGATAAAAATGCATTCTTGTATCTGCATGATTTCGGCAGAGTAATAAACCCTGCCTCACTGGCTTAAATGAGAAAGAAACATTATGATCTCCTAAGGTAGGGTAGCCCAAGGGTGAGTTAACTCAGCAGCAGGACAGTATCATCAAGGATCCATGTCCTTTTTACCTTTCTGTTCCATCAAGCCCCTTCGCGGTCACAAAATGGCTACTGCAGTACCAGGCATCACATCCAGACCTGGCAGTGCCTAGCAAAGGAGAAGATGGCGCCTATATTTGTCTTATTTTCCCAGAACTCCCCCTCCTTCAGCAGACTTCCCCTCTTGTCTCATGGGTCAGAACTGGCTCACATGGCTGTTCCTGTACCAATGCCTTGTAAAGGAAGTAGAGCCACAGTGCTTGGCTCAGGGAAGCCCAGAACTGTGGAGCTGAGTGGAGAACCCTAAATAAAATGAGGTGCTGTGAATAAAGAGGAAGGGCCAGGACTTCTGGGGAGGCACTGATACCGGTCCATGAACTCTGCACGTGGGTCCTGTGATGAGAATGCCAAGCGCTGAGCATGGTGCCTAAGCCTTCTCTCTGGTCATTTGCTTCCTCCTTTTCGTGATTCTCTACAAACAGCCCACACAGCCCGCTTGGCCTCTCCTGACCAGCCTCCCACTCCCCGCCCTCGGGGCGTAGGTCCCTGTTGCCCAGTGTCCCTCTACCCTGTCTTCTGGTTCCACAACTGCCTCTCTTGTTTGCATCTCAAAAGCTCAGGATGAACAAAGATCTCCCCATTGTCCTGGATGACTTTCGTTTCCTAAAAAATAAGAGGTAGGGGGTGCTTAATTCTCATGCAAATGCTTTTGCCAGAGAATAAAAAATTAATAACAGCATGAACAGAGGCCTGGAGTATTTAACCACCCTGTCCAAACAATCAAAATGATCAGAATCCACCGTTATCCAGGCAAGAAGGTATGCGGACCACGACATTGTTACATTTGGAAATGTCAGAAGCGTGCTTTCAGGGGGAGATGAACGGTGTAGTTGAAAATGGCTTTTGATTTTTAAAAAATCCCCAGCATTCATCTACAACAATAATAACAGCTAATAATAACAGGGCATGTAATAATGAACTATTCATAGGCATAAGAGGTAATTGTTCAATTAAGATCTGAGAGTGTCTAAGACTGTCTTTTCTGATGGGGTCCCATTGTTTTTGACTCGAGTAACACTCATTTCCCCATAGTGCTTTAAACTTGGGATGAAAAAAGCCCTCCTGTCAAATATGACATACAAGTGCTTCATCATTATTAAATACACATGCACACACATAATAAGACATCCTTGTTGGAATCAAGTTAGGGGTATGTTCAAAAGGAGAAGGTTCTGGATGGGAGCTGATAGTCTCTGGGGCTCAGCAAAATGTCAGGAGATAGTGTCTTCCCTGCAGAAGTGACCTGGACTTGTCCCCTCTCGCCCATCAGGGGTCAGAGTTTTTCTCTCCAGAGTGGGGTCTGACAGCAGAATGCCTGGGTTCAAATCCCAGCCCCACCACTTACCAGCCAGGTACCCTGGGCAAGAGTCTTCACCTCTCTGAGCCTGTTTTCTCATCTATAACATGGAGCTATTTTTGACCTGCTCAGGTTCTATTTGCTATTTCTTTCAGTGTCTGTATCCATTACTTCTTGCCACAAAATTGATGCCTGCACTTCAACAAAATGACAAAATCTCAGTGGCATACAAAAACATTTCTTTGTCATGCATCCGTGGGATTCCTCTGATCTTAGGTTCACCTGGGACGCCATAGCTCTGCTCCAAGTACCTCTCATCCTCTCGGGGTGAGCCCAGGCGAGCCTGCTAACACCCCATTGGTTAAAACTAGTCACATGGCCAAGTCAAGCCGGGAGTTGGAAATTATGTTTTGCCCACAGTGGGAGAATAACCATAAAGTTATACTGCAAAGGCATGGGTAAAAGGGAGAATGGCACAGGCGCCAACAGTCCAGCGTCCCTCTGAACTGCCCTTCCCCGTTCTCAGTCCCTGTAGTCTGGGGGGATCTAACTCCCTCCGTGGTCCGGCAGCCCTTCAGAGGTTCTGAACCTCAGGCTTTTCTCATTAGAGACAGAGATTTGCAAGTGTTAGCAAGACCTTAAAAACACAGAAGCACCCAACGGAGACCTTGTTATAATGGGGAAGGACAGAAAAGTGAAAAGGGTGTATGCGTTCCTCTAAGTGATTCTACATCCAATGTTCCCATGAAGACCAGTCCAAGTCCCACACTTGGAAGGACATTGGAAAAGGTTATTTTAAGGTCTTACTGGAACAAACAAAATCTCAATGACTTCAAAACATTTTAAATTCCCCCTAAACAGCTTTCAACTTAAAGAGAATCAATACCCAAACCATCAAATTTTGGAAAGTCACAGTTGAAAAAGGGCTACCCATTTAGCTAAACAAGGTTCTCAGAGGAAAATTCATAGCCTACAATTACCTTGTTATTTTAAAAGATGAATGAATGAAGCATTCACCTCAATAGTTACGGAATCCCTTTGAGCTGAGGGGGTGCTTTGATCTTGTGGGCAAGCCCATCCCATTACCCCCTAGAGATGGGACCTCTCCAAGCCCCAGAATGAGCCACAGCCATTCTCAGTGGCAAAGCTGGCCACCCACCAGTCTGTAGCAGATGCTACTGGCTGCCTGAGCAATGCTGACTGCCCCGTCATCCTCCCCCACAGAACGCAGACCTGGCTGGGGGAACTACCTTTCTCCAAATTGCCCTCTGCTTCTTCAGGACAACTGCTGCTTCCTGCCAGCTGATTGGCTGAAGCATAGGACACCTGACACAACTCTGGCCAATAATACAAGAGGGGAGTCTGGTTGGGGGACTTCAGGGAAAAGTCTCCTCCCCATAAATAAGACACAGGAAAACTCATCTCTCCTTTCTCAGGATGTAGCTGAATCTCGGTGTGGTGCTTGGAACAGTGGTGCCCTGTTGCATCCTTGAGGAAAAAGCCAGCACCCCTGGGCTGGTGGTGCCTGGCACAGAGCCTGACAAGTGCCAAAGGGATAAATGAGTGGCAGAACTCTAAATTGATGAGACTGAATGAACAGGCCTTAATGCCCTCCTTAATTGGGCATAAATTCTTGCTATCTGAGACAATAATATTCCTTTTTCTTTATGCCAGTGTAAATTTCCTATTACTTGCTGCCCAAAACATGTAACTGTGTGAGCACTATACCCACGATCCTCCCTTTGAAAAGCCCAGGGAATCACTTGATCTTCACAAAGGCTGTGTCCCATTTGACAGTTGAGAACATTGAGGCTCAGCATTCATGATCCACCCAGGTACCTAGAAGGCGGGGCTCAGCCAGGGGGGGCATCCTATCCTCAGGCCATGGGATTGGCTCAGGCACGTTACACGACCAAAGTCCGTCCAGTCAGAATGGCTCTTGGGACCCACCCCCACCCCACGCCTCCCCACCCACATGGTGCTGGGGCCATGCCTGTTCCTGCCCCCCCCCCAGGCCATCATGCCAGCATCTCTGTCATCAGTGAATGAATATTTATTGAGCACCGGCAAGTCCCACCTTCTCTGCAGAACACCCAGAGGTCATCGACCCGACCCTGAGGGTCCCGGTCCCTCAGCAAAGCCACCACACTACTGCTGAACACAGTGACGTGTGCAGCCAGGACACAGGCCGGGCCGGGCCTCGGCCAGCAGTGCGCCTGGAGTGGGGTCCTGAGGCCTCTACCGCGGTCCAGCTGGGGGCAGGGGTCACAGTGCTTTCCTGAGAGCAGAGCAAATAAATAATGGAGAAGCGGGGGTCTGAGCGCCCGTGGGCAGAGAGGCCCTGGAGTTGGCTTAAGTGACTCCATGGGAGCAAGACAGGCAGCCAGGAGCCTCCTACCCAGGGTGGGCAGGCACAGCTGGGGGTGCCAGCCTGGGGAGCAGAGGGTCCTGGGGCCTCCCCAGCATCTGCACCGGGCCCTCACCTCTGGGGAGCAAAGGAGTGTGTGAGGAACACCCTGGGAGGCGTCACTGAAATGCAGGCGGACTAGAAACGGGCGTGGGGGGGAGGGGAGGGTCGCTGCTGTCCAGAGACCCCTACCCCTGCCCACGGCCCCTAGAGGGGGGCATCGTCAGTCCCCCACTTGGGGGCATAACCCTGCTGGTGGCCGTCACAGCTGGGGGTGCCCATGCTGCCCAGTGGCACCACCACCTCGTCGGGGCTCAAGGTCCTGTTCAGTTCCACCACGCGCGGCACCACTGAGGACCAGCGATCTGCAGGGGGCATGGCAGAGGGAGGGGTGAAGATGGGGAGAGAGTGTACGTGTATATATTGAGTGCTACTGTGTACCAAGCACTCTAATAATAATAATGGGTATCATTATCCCCATTTTACACAGGTGGAAACCGGGGCTCAGAAAGGTCAAGGCACCTGCCCAGGGGCACACAGGAGTAAATGGAAGAATCAGAATTCAAGCCCGGGCCAGAATGCCGGGCTCCAAATACTCAGTGTAGTGGGAGGGAGGTGCCCCAGGCACTCACGGGCAGCAAAGAGAACTCAGCGGTCAGCCCACCCGACCCTCCCATTCTGCAGAAATGAACACGGAGTCCCAGAAAGGGGACAGGACTGCTCAAAGTAAATAGTGATGAAGATGACGAGGCACCCCCTCTGCACCCGAGTCCCCCCTAAACCCCCACCACTCACCCCTGCGGAGGCGGCCCACAGTGTGCGAGAAGCCGTAATACTGGTAGTTCTCGCTCTTGCCTGGGTCCTCGTTAATGATGCCCAAGTTCTGGTTCCAGTGAGACCAATTCACCTCGTCCACTCTGGAGGGGCCGCAGCAGAGAGCAGGTCAGGGGGAGCGCCCACTGAGACGGCACCCTGCCCCCACCCCGAGGCAGCCTCCTCCTTTCTCTCTTCCGGGCACAATATACTGACATAAACATTGCCATGTTAACCATTTTAAAATATGCAATTCTGGGCATTAAGTACACTCCCAAGGTGGGGCAACCATCACTGCCATCTCTTTCCGATCAAATAGAAAACTGCTCGTTAGGCACTGACTGCCTGCTCCCCATCCCACCGGCCCCTGGTAACCTCTGCTCTCCTTTCTCTCTCTGTGAACACAGCCGTTCTGGACGTTTCGTGTAAATGAGGTCATGCACTGTGTGGGCGTCTGCAGCTAGCTGATTTCACTTAGCATATTTTCAGTCTTTGTCCATCGTGGAGAATGCATCTGGATTCCATTCCTTCGTGCGGCTGGACGCGGTCCCATTGCATGGCCAGCCGCACTTTGCTCATCCGTCCATCTGTGACAGACACCCTCTTTCTTGACACTCCCACCTCTCATGACTAGGACACCCTCGGAAAGTCAGGCCACAGCCTCTTGGGCCCAAATTGGCTCAGTATAATTTTACCTTTCTAAGATAATTTTTTTTGTTATTTTCATTCAACTGCCATTTTTTTGAGCAACTGCTATGCGTCAGAACTCCGCAAAAAAGATACACATCCCCTGCTCCCATTTTACTGATAGGGAAACTGCTTGTTACACTCTTCATCTAAAGTCACAAAGCTGATTAGTGAGAGAATCAGGATTTGAACTTTGCATTCAAATTGAGTAAATTCATCCGGCGGGCCTGTGAGGTGGTGCCATACTGTCCCCACTTTGTAGATGAGGAGACTGACTTCACCTGACTCTAGACGTGACACTTGTAGCCTATGCCACAATCACCTTATAAAGAATGATTCTCCCTAGATTCTCCCTAAAGGTAAAGATTCACCCAGGGCTTCCTCTAGGGCGATGGCGCTCCCGTGCATCTGGGCCGTGTCCACATGCTGGAAGCTGCTGATTCCCATTTCCCCTTCCAGTTGGCACACTGAGGCCCACCGCGGTGTTTTACGGACAGAGGGTGATGCCCTGAGATGAGCGCCTCCTCCAACTCCCCCTGCTTCCCCAGCAAGGAACAGCGCGTTGACGCCAGCTGCTGTGCGAGTGTCCCCGCGTTCATCGGGTGCTGGCCAAGCTTGGCCCACGTGCCAACCCATCCGATCTGCACAGCTGGCCTAGGGCAGTTGTCCCATTGCACAGATGGAGAGATGCAGGCTGAGAAGTAACCCGACTTGCCCAAGACCACCTACTAGACCTGAGCTGTAGTTGGGCCCATTAGGCCTCATGGCCCAGGAAGTTGCAATGGGTGGAAAACCTAAGGCGGCCCGGCGTGCCTGAGATGGCTCGGTCCCGCCCGCCAGCCTCACCTGAAGCACCACCGGCGGTCCGGGGTACCATCCGAGCTCTTGCCCACGGTCACCATCTCGCCGGAGCGGAAGGCCTTCCGCAGGAATACGGGGAAGGAGCGCTCGATGTCCAGGATGGTGGTGGCCCACTGTGGGAGCGAGTGTGTGCAGGCCGTTGGCGAGCCTCCCCCAGCTGGGTGGCAGAACCCACAGGACGGGCCGGGGTGGGGTGGGCAGGGAGCCAGGCTTCCCGGCCCCTCTGCTCCCGGAAACAGGGTTATACACTCACAGACCCCACAAGGGCCTGGCAGGGGAGCGAACGAGTGGAGCAGGATGAGAGGCAGGAAGACCACAGCCCCAGCCCCAGCTCCGTGACGCGGGCACAGCAAAGTCGCCACTGGGTGCTGGGGCCCACCGGGAGGCGGATGCCCCATGTAAAGGGGCAGCTGCCTCTCACCCACCAGAGCACTGCCAGGCAGGAATGTGGGCAGGCTTACAGCTTTTTGAGAAAGGTCAGCAATCTAGACTTTTACGTGAAATCTCTTCATTTGAAAATTTTGAATTTTTTGAAGGTATGGTAACACAGAAAAATTAATTTGGCTGCTCAGATCCGGTCCACAGGCTGCCCATTTGCATCATATGAGTTACACCCAGCAGGGAAACTGAGGCCCAGTGAAGTAAGTGATATGGATAAAGATTAAGCCCAGACCTGGAGGATGACCTAGGGGTTTTCATCTCCTGGCACCTTTTCCTTGAAATGCACCGAGTCAGGGTAAATGTAGGTGCTGCATCCCTGGGCCTTGCAATAGCACTGTTTACTGTGAACCCCCAGGGTCATGAGCTGCCCGAACCTCCTGGGCCCCTGCTTTCTAGGATTGCATGGAAACCTTTGGGAGGCAAAGGCAGGAGCTGCCAGGTGCCAGCGAGGCCCACATCCACCCCAGCTTCTCAGGGCGCTGGAGCCTGGCAGCCACATCTGAGCTGATAAAAGCCCCTCTGATGAGAATGCTGACATTTCCCTGTGCTGGGGTGGCCTGTTCCCATACCAGCCTTGTCTCTTGGGCAGTGGCGGGCACGTAACAGCCCTGGGCTCAGCGCAGGACCCCTGCCAAAATGCCACCGCTCTTTGAGCACTTCCTGTGATGACAAGCTCACTCGGAGGAGCCGGGTGAAGCTGACTGTGATCTGGACCACAAGGTGAATCTGAGACCACAGCTGGTGGTCACGCAAGAAGCTGCCTGCAAATGCCCTAGGCAGCTCTGGGAAGTAGGCAGCAGCCTTCAATGCCCATTGTACAGGCAGGGAAGTAGAGGCAGAATGAGATGACGTGGTTCGCCCAGTGTGCAAGGCTGCAGAGGTGTGGTGGGCCCACCTCGGAAGGAGAAGGGTGGCAGGCAGGGCGGGGACGGGGCTCCTGGGCCTCACCTGCAGCTTCCAGATGTGCTTGCTCTCCTTGGACACCTGGCCCACCGTCTCCCCCATGAGGGCGATGAGCATGTTGAGGAGCAGAACGAAGGTGAGGATGATGTAAGTGACGAGCAGGATGATGAAGACCACGGGGTACTTGGTGCTGCTCAGCATCTCCAGGTCGCCCATGCCAATGGTCAGCTTGAACAGGTCCAGGAGGAAGGCGCTGAAGGCCTCGCTGTCACGGCACGAGGGGTACGTGGGCACCGTGCAGTTGGTATGGTCCTCGCTGCACACCTTCATGTTGGCACATGGGTTCAGGAGGGACACCAGGGCTGGGGAAGGGACAGGGGTGGCATTTGCTGAGTGTCAGGACACAAGCTGAGAGGTGGGGGTCGTCATTCCCATTTCATGGAGGGGAAAGCTGAGGTGTGGCGAGGCGAGAGCATTGGTCCAGGGTTACCCAGCATGGCAAGGGGCAGAGCTGGGTCCTCCTGAATCCAAAGCCTTTGGAAACTCTTGCTAACAAGGAAGAGGTTCCAGGATCTAGGCCAGCAATTTTCAAGCATGAGTAACTCCCACTGCCCCAGGGGACATTTGGCAATGTCTAGAGATAGGTTTGTTGACACAGCTAGAGGGGCAATGCTTCTGGTACCTAGTGGGTAGAGGCCAGGGATGCTGTTAAACATCCGGCCCCACACAGGATGGCTCCCACATGGATAATTAGCTGGCTCCAAATGTCAGTCATGTTAAAGCTGAGATGCCCAATCTAGCCTGTTCTTAGAGGTCTTAAGAGCCTGGAATGCCAGCATTCCTGGGGGGCAGGCTCTCCCCCATGCTCCTGTTTCCCAGCCCTTACCAGCTCAGAGAGGAAAGGTGGCAGCTAAAACCAGGTACTAGTCCTGACAGTCCCAGAAGCCATGCTCACTAAGGCCCTTGCCCCCTCCACACATCTCAAACTAATCACAGTGCTCATTGCTTCCCATTAAACCCAGATGAACCCTCAGAGTCCTTCTCATTCAGCAGCAACAAGTGCCCCTGCACCATCCAGCGCAGGGGGCTGAGGAGGCCGAGCCCCCCCCAGTCAGTGTAGTGAAGCATGTCATAGAGCCTTCAACCCAGGGTTACAGTAAGCAGGTCTCAACTCATATGCCATAGCTATCCAGCGGCGTAGTGGCTGCTGAGATGCGTGTTCAGAAGGATTCTGAGACCATGTCTGGACCCATCAGAAAACTTGCTCTGTGATCCATGACCAACTTCTGCCGTGGGCACAAAAGTGGGGAGCAGAAGCACACCTGTCATGCTTGTGCTCTGTCAGCCTCACACCAGGGATCTAGGGTCCCTCATTAAGAGAAGCCCTGGGCCCAGAACTAAGCTGCTACTTTAACCCCAAAGCTTCTGCCTCAGTTTCTATAATTAGGGCTAGAGTAGGACTGGACTCCTCACCTGAATCCTAAACTGTTGTGGAACCCTTGATACTCTGTCTAGTTCTTCTAAGTCCTATCCCTGGGAGGGGACAACTGTATCCTGTCCCTACGTCCCCAGCTAAGGCCACAGTTCCACTTCCCCCCAAATAATCCCAGCAGAGCCTCAGCACTAACTGGGTTAAAATATCACCACCATCAGAGAGCCCTGATACAAACCCAACCATATATGTCAATCAATATATGATAAAGGAGCCATGGACATACAACAGGGAAATGACAGCCTCTTCAACAGCTGGTGTTGGCAAAACTGGACAGCTACATGTAAGAGAATGAAACTGGATTATTGTTTAGCCCCACACACAAAAGTAAACTCAAAATGGATTAAAGACTAGAATATAAGTCATGAAACCATAAACTCTTAGAAGACAGCA